CTGCCTATAATATTTCTATCTAACTCGGCTGTCTGCAACAAAAGGACCGACACTCTTGGTATGCCAGGGGAGCACCTTCATGTAGGGAGTCTTGAGGGGGTGCAACCTTATCATAATTATACACCATAGAGGCTCCCTGCTATGTTTTTATCCTTTTTGCTATGCTAGCCTCTGCATTTGAGAGTGAGGAAGGCAGAGGCCTTAAAAAGTTCTCATGTGCAGATTCTTATTTGTGTGGAAGCTTGCTCTTGAGGTTTAGCAATATCAGCATCTGAAGCCAAACTTTTCAAATATTTCTTAGACTCTTGAGTCCAATTGAAATGGTTCCAAAGCTAAGGAAATTAAGCTATAAAGAGACCATACACGAAGAGGAACTGGTTCCCCATTTTGATGAGCACAACGCAGCGTACTCATAACCTTCCCAAATTTTTAAGTGTAAAACAGCCTTTCCCTTAGGCTGAAACCAAGAATAATGCCTTGTTATAAGGGAAAACAATTCCTCAAAACTCTTTGGTTTTATCTTTATGCCTGTTCCTTTGAGTAACATCCGAATAAGATGGACATACTCATTTTCTACTGAAGCTCATTTTCTTTTCTTTCTTTTTTTTTCTGAAGCTCATTTTCTGCTGAAGTGGAGTTTCCCATTATTCTGAGTTTTTCCTGCTGGTCTCGCCTACTGTGGCTGTACGTTTCACTCACGTTCAGGCCTCTCTTAACTCACCCCTTCTCATCTTCCATGCCCCAGGTTGTGTGCCACTTGTTGTATGTTATGGGTCGGTGCCAAAAGAAACAAAGAGAAAACCTGATGAACATAACTTCAGAGGTGTCACTGAGGTTAGTCTCTCTCCAAGTGAGCCTTGAGACTCAGAAGCATCTCACGTTTATTGAGGGCTAAAGGCAGGCTAAGGAATGTGCATAATTGCTTAAGTGAACACAAACTACTCTCTCTATTGACTTCCACCATTTGCCTAACATTAGGTCCACACAAATGCTAGCTGATAACATCCCAAGCAAGGGACCAAAGAACAGGGCACCAGCAGGAGAAGCTGTTATCTGCAGCCTTGAATCCCAGATTCCGGAATTTACAAGTGAGAGACAGCAGCTATCCTTGGGCTCTGTCTATTG